CCGGCGTACAGCTTCCGGGTCATGTGGCCAGCAGGACTAAGCCGCTTCTGGCAAACCAGAGCAGCGCATGGAAACGCCGTTTACCTTCCCACCGGAGTGGTACCTATTTATCTACTTGCACTTTGACGTGCTTTCAAACTGCTAGGTTGGCAGGAGCAGGGACTGAGCAATGGGAGCTCACCCCGTCACGGGGATTCGAACCGCCGACCTTCTGATCGGCAAGTCCTAGGCTCTGTGGTTTAACCCACAGCGCCACCAGCGTCCCGAGGTACCACTGTATCATCATCATCATCATCATTTACTATTTTTGGCACCCGTCTGTCTCTAGAGACAATGGAGTTCGCCTCCGGGGGTGAAGCCAAACTGCTGTGTGAGCAGCTCCAAAGTGATCTCCCCAAGGCACAAGCCTGGGCCGTGTGTCTGGGGATCCTGGAGTGCAAACTGGCCCTGAGCGCAATTGCCACAACTGCCTTGGGTTGGGTGATTGCCAGCAGCTGATATTTGGGAAGGTACACTGCCCCTGATACTGGAAGTTCAGCCACTGGGAAGCGATTCTCCCCGATCTCAGTTCCCAGGTGCTGGGTATTTTTCCAGAGGCATCGATAACCTTCCTTGATACGAGTTAAGAAGGGCGGAAAGCTCAAAGCGCCTTCGCGAGGCTCCGTCAATGAAAGCTGTTGGCTGCGGTCAATGGAGAGGCGGGGCAGCTTCCGATTGGCCGCAGCGCCCTCTGACATCAGAAAGGTTCGTGGTCACCTTCCGTGGCAGTTGTGCGAGAGAGGAGGAGGTGTGTGGCCATGTTTTTTCTTGCGCGCAGGATCAAAACTGGTTCGTATTCATAGCCGATTCACTTGGCAGAGTCTACCCAATGCTTTTATCTGTTCTGAAAATTTACAGGCTGCATATATATATCTATATATCTGTATAACTATCTATCTATCATCTATCATCTATCATCTATCTATCCATCTATCTATCTATCCATCTATCTATCCATCTATCTATCTATCATCTATCTATCCACCCATCCATCCATCCATCTATCCATCTATATATATATATGGACCTCTGACCATTATGTCCAGTCGTGGCTGACTCTGGGGTTGCGGCGCTCATCTCGCTTTACTGGCCGAGGGAGCCAGCGTTTGTCCTCAGACAGTTTTTCCGGCTCATGTGGCCATCATGACTAAGCCGCTTCTGGCGAACCAGAGCAGCGCACGGAAACGCCGTTTCCCTTCCTGCCGGAGCGGTACCTATTTATCTACTTTAACTTTGACATGCTTTCGAACTGCTAGGTTGGCAGGAGCAGGGACCGAACAACGGGAACTCACCCCGTCATTGTGGGGATTTGAACCGCCGACCTTCTGATCGGCAAGCCCTAGGCTCTGTGATTTAACCCACAGCACCACCCGTGTGTGTGTGTGTGTGTGTGTGTGTGTATATATATATATATATATATATATATATGAACATAGGTATCCAATGCTGTGAGACCCGTCAAAATGGCCTCGGCTAACGCAGGTGCCCATTAAATTCAATGGGTCCTCCTCTGAGTAACTCTCTTATTATAGGGTGTGCCATAAGATGCGCTTTGTCAATGCGCTTAGAAATCGAGTGAGACGGGGCCGTCGTGTGTCTGGGAATGCTCAAACCTAGCTGGAAATAGGTATTTTTTTCCCAGGGCTGAGTGTCTCGCCTTCAGGTTTATAATTTGGGTTTTTAATCCTTTAAGAGCCCAGCTAGCGATGGCCAGCGAGTGGCCGCTGAGAAAAAGATTCTCCCTTCCCCTTTTAATTTGCCGAATGCCCTTCTATAACCCTGTGGCGGTCAGTTCCTGAATCTGTTTCACGAAGAGAGCGGCTGTCCTGGCGACATATTTTTTATCTCTCTGTGCCTCTAATGACTCTCTTCCTCACGTGAAAAGACCGTTTTGTTTTCGGTGAAAAGACCGTTTTGTTTTCGGTTTCGGGGGAAAGCCGGGTAAGGGGAGGTCATGACCATAGCTATCAGCTTACAGATTTTGGAAATAAGGGACCTATTTATCTACTTACCTATTTATCTACTTGCACTGGTGTGCTTTCGAACTGGTAGGTTGGCAGGAGCAGGGACCAACCAATGGGAGCTCACCCAATCATCGCGGGGATTCGAACCGCCAACCTTCTGATCGGCAAGTCCTAGGCTCTGTGCTTTAACCCACAGCGCCACCCGCGTCCCTTGTACCTATATAAGATATCTTTAAAAACACACACACCCAAAACAAAAACATGAAAACATACATTATCTTTCCTCTTCCTGGTGAGGAACATCATCTCAAAAAAAACGAGGTTGCTGGAGACTGTCCCTGAGACTTTCCTCTTTCCAAAGAGGAAACCATCCAGGATATTTGAAAATATGGTCCCTTGGTTTGGTCGCCTATGGCGAGTAGCAACGGGTTTCCAGGGGACCCCAGAGCAGAATTATGTGTCTGTGTTTGGTTTGCCAGCTGCCCTCTGGGATAGATATTAGGAGAGAGTGCAGGTTAAAAAAAGCATTCCTTGAGATCCGGCAACTTGAATCTGGACTCACCAGCCGGACCAGTTGCTTAATGGCTGTCGCCTCTTGAAACCTGTTTTACGCAGAAGCTGAGAAGCGACTGGCGTTTTATGACTGGCGTGGGTCCAGTTGTGACCACATGGAGATTTCGGGTTGCCGTTTTGGCGAACTGTCTGCCTTCTCCAGCTTCCCTAAGCAGCTCAGCCAGAAGAGATTATTCACTGCATTTTAGATCCTGTGTGAGTGTCTGGAGGCGGTTGGAGGATGGATGGCGGCTAACAGATTGAGGTTGAATCCTGACAAGGCAGAAGGACTGTTTTTGGGGGACAGGGGGCAAGCAGGTGGGGGGGACTCCCTGGTCCTGAATGGGGTCACTGTGCCCCTGAAGGAACAGGTGCGCAGCCTGGGAGTCATTTTGGACTCACAGCTGTCCATGGAGGCGCAGGTTAATTCTGTGTCCAGGGCAGCTCCATCTGGGACGCAGGATGAGACCCTCCCTGCCTGCGGACTGTCTTTCCAGAGTGGTGCATGCTCTGGTTATCTCTCGCTTGGGCTACTGCCATGCGCTTCTACCTTTGAAGGTGACCCGGAAACCGCAACTAATCCAGAATGTGGCAGCTGGACTGGTGACTGGGAGTGGCCGTCGAGACCACATAACACCGGTCCTGAGAGATCTGCATTGGCTCCCAGTACGTTTCCGAGCACAATGCAAAGTGTTGGGGCTGACCTTGAAAGCCCTAACTGGCCCAGTAGACCTGAAGGAGCGTCTCCACCCCCATCGTCCAGCCCGGACACCGGGGTCCAGCTCCGAGGGCCTTCTGGCGTTTCCCTCCCTGCGAGAAGCGAGGTTACAGGGAACCAGGCAGAGGGCCTTCTCGGTGGTGGCACCCTCCCATCAGATGTCAAGGAAATAAGCAGCTATCCTATCTTTAAAAGACATCTGAAGGCAGACCTGTTTAGGGAAGTTTTTAATATTTAATGCTGTATTGTTTTTAACACTTGAAGCCACCCAGAGTGGCTGGGGAAACTCAGCTAGATGGGCGGGGTATAAATAATAAATTATTATTATTATTAGTATATTATCCCAGCTTTTTCTGCGAGGAGCCCACGGTTCGCCCCACTTCCTCACTTAATCCCTACAACGGCCTGGCAAGGTGGGCTGAGCGAGCTTCAGGACTGAGCAGGATTCGAACCCTGATCTCCCAGGTCCTAGTCTGACATTCAAACAAATACTACACCCCCCCTGGTTTCCTAGAGTCCTTCTGCTATGGGGCAAGCTCTATAAATTGAGTAAGCGACTAAATATGGGGAACGCCCTTAGATAAGGGTCTGAAATATTTCCCTTGAATTTGTTTCCTTCTGGATTGTTTTCATTGGGTGTTTTAATGTAAAGCGCTTTGAGATTCCGCCCCCTTTGAATTATAAGGCTGTATAGAAATGAAAATAATAATAATAATAATAATAAATTTATTATTTACAGCACACCCATCCGGCTAGGTTTCCCCAGCCACTCTGGGCGGCTCCCAACAGAAAATCAAAAACACGATATGAAACACCAAACATTAAAAGCTTCCCTAAACAGGGCTGCCTTCAGATGTCTTCTAAAAGGTCTTTATCTCCTTGACATCTGATGGGCGCCACCACCAAGAAGGCCATTTGGCGATTAGCTTTTATATCTATCTTGATATCTATCTATCTATCTATCTATCTATCTATCTATGGGACACGGGTGGCGTTGTGGGTTAAACCACAGAGCCTAGGACTTGCCGATCAGAAGATTGGCGGTTCGAATCCCCGCAATGACGGGGTGAGCTCCCGTTGCTCGGTCCCTGCTCCTGCCCACCTAGCAGTTTGAAAGCACGTCAAAGTGCAAGTAGATAAATAGGTACCACTCCGGCAGGAAGGTAAATGGCGTTTCCGTGCGCTGCTCTGGTTCGCCAGAAGTGGCTTAGTCCTGCTGGCCACATGACCCGGAAGCTGTACGCCGGCTCCCTCGGCCAATAAAGCGAGATGAGCGCTGCAACCCCAGAGTCAGCCACGACTGGACCTAATGGTCAGGGGTCCCTTTACCTTTACTCTATCTATCTATCTATCTATCTATCTATCTATCTATCTATCTATCTCAGCCTCTAGCACGGGTTGAAAGGTCAGATTCTGCTAACTTCAAATGGCGACTGGAGTCGCCCCGTCTGTCTGTTCCTTCCTGCCCAAGCTGAACCTCCCCTTCCTTCCCTTTTGTTAATAACAAAAAGAAAAAAATTATCCCTCCCTTCTCTCTTTCCTTCCTCTTTTTGTGCGAATATGTCGAGGTCTGCTCTGGGTGTGTTCGTTCCCTAACCCAACGAATCGGCTGTAAATCAAGTTTCTAGTCCCTGTCGCTTGGGGAGGGGGAAACGAAGTCAGTTTTCTAGTCCTCATTGTGCTAACGTGCCTATTTTATTTTCCCTCTCTCTCCCCTGTTCTTCCAGGCAGCGCTTTCCCTGACGCCTAGATGACGCAGAAGAGGCCCCGGCCTCGAAGCACGCCTCTCGAACCCAACACCCCCTTCGGGAAAGCCCCCGGGAGCACCGCAGGACTGCCCCGCCGGCGTGGTTCGGGGCGGCTGGGAAGCGGAGGGACCCCGCGGCGAGGGATGGCGGCTGGCCTCTGAAGCCCGTGCCCTGCGAGGAACCGTTTGGCACCCGAACCCCTTTCCCACAGCCGCGAGGACTGCTGGGGCAGAAGGGCCCCTCGACGGCGTCCCCCACGGCGTTGCCTCCGCCCGGACGCTGCCCTCCGGTGCCCCCGTTGCAGGGCGAGGACTCCTCGGTGGCGGCCCCTGCCAGGCCTGCCGCCGGCCGGGCCATGAAGCTTCAGGCGGTGATGGAGAACCTGCAGAGGCAGCAGAGAGCCCGCCTGCAGCAGGAAATGGAGTCACGCCAGCCTCCGCCGGCCGATCCGCCGAGCGCGCTTCCGGCTCCTGCCGCGGCAGCGATGGCCTTCTCCCGCAGCCGTAGCCAGGAGCCCGCCGCTGAGGAGGCAGGGGAACCGGAGAGCGCCCGGATCCAGCGGGCGCAGATGGCGGCGCTGGCGGCCATGCGGGAGGCGGCTGCCGGCCTGAGCCAGTCGTCGAGCCCCGGCCCGTCGGAGGCTAGCCGTGGCTCAGCGGAGGAGGAGGAAGAGGAGGAGGAGGACGAGGAAGACGACGGAGGGGTGTTCCCGCGGGAAACGGTCTCCGAAGACGAGGAGATGTGAGTATTGGCCTTTATCCCGGAGCGATGAGGACCGGTTGTGCCAGATTTACGTGCAGTGGTACCTCGGGTTACGTACTTAATTCGTTCCGGAGGTCCGTTCTTAACCTGAAACTGTTCTTAAGCTGAAGCATCACTTTAGCTAATGGGGCCTCCCTTTGCCGCTGCACGATTTCTGTTCTCATCCTGAAGCAAAGTTCTTAACCCAAGGTACTATTTCTGGGTTAGCGGAGTCTGTAACCTGAAGTGTATGTAACCTGAAGCATCTGTAACCCTAGGTACCACTGTATAAGCTAAACAAGGTGTAGCTTAGGGCCCCGCTCTCTTGGGGGCCCCCCAAAAAATTTAACGGGAAAAGAAAACTGGATGTACATTTCCAAAATATAAGATAAAAAACAAATGAAATAAGACCTACATCTAGGAACAGTGTTTTGTGTTGCGTAGGCTCCTAGGATGTAAGTCATGGGCCCCGCCTGCTAGCCTGCTCCCCAAAATATTACTGGTTAGATACCGTATTTTTTGCTCTATAAGACGCACCAGACCACAAGACGCACCTAGTTTTTGGAGGAGGAAAACAAGAAAAAAATATTCTGAATCCCAGAAGCCAGAACAGCAAGAGGGATCGCTGCGCAGCGAAAGCAGCAATCCCTCTTGCTGTTCTGGCTTCTGGGATAGCTGCGCAGCCTGCATTCGCTCCGTAAGACGCACACACATTTCCCCTTACTTTTTAGGAGGGGAAAAGTGAGCCTTATAGAGCAAAAAGTACGGTACCTATTAGGTCCATCGAACGTGCTCCGTTTTGAGTGTTACACTGAGGTCTTTCTGTTTTTGCTATTTATTTTGCGTTTGTGTGGCTCTTTGTGTGTGTGTGTGTGTGTGTGTGTGTGTGTGACTCTGTGGAACCCAGTCCAGCCACTGATTGCTTTTGTGACTGCAGTACATCGTATATTGCTTTCATTATACGGATTGACGGTCTCGTTAGATAGCAAAATTCACGTCAAATTGCTGTTTTAGGGGTTGTTTTTTAAAAGTCCGGGACGGACCGGTCTGTTTTGCATTGCGTTCTATGGGAAAGCAGCGCGCCTTGGTTTTGGAACGGACTTCTGGAACGGATTAAAGTTTGGGAACCAAGGTACCGCTGTACCTTTGCGCTCTTCAAAGATCCCGGCGGCAACTCTGTTTAGGGCTGGCTCCGTAAGAGGCAGCGTCCTATGAAGCCAGACGAAAACAATGAGGACTACAGCCTTACTTGATGCTTTGATAAAGGGCTGCAGATTCAGTGGCTGAGCACCAGCTTTTTGGAGCAGGAGGCCTCGGGTTCAGTCCCCAACGGTAGGGCCGGGAATTCTTCCCCGGCGTCCGACCCTGGAGAGCTTCTGCCAGCCAGAGCGGGCGTGATGGGTGGGACCCATGGTTTGGTTTAGAACGAGGCACTTCCGAGCCCCACTGAATACACATAATAAACAGGCCTAGTTGCAGAGAATCTCCCCTCTTCGCCGCAATAAAAAGAATTGCAAAACTGTTATTACAGCGGTTCTCCACCTGTGGGTCCCCAGATGTTGTTGGACTACAACTCCCATCACCCCTGAGTCCTGGCCTTGCTAGCTAGGGGTGATGGGAGTTGTAGTCCAACAACATCTGGGGATGTTGAGAAAGGCTGCCTTCAGCTCAGCTTACGCCACGCTTCCTCAGCCAGATGTTTTTGGCCTACAACTCCCATGATCCCTTGCTAGCAGGACCAGCAGTCAGGGATGATGGGAATTGTAGTCTCGAAACATCTGGAGGGCCGAGGTTGAGGAAGCCTGGCTTATGCAGACTCTATGGAAGAGCTTCCCGAGCCTCTGTCCTCTTAGCTCAGTGGTTCTCAACCTCTGGGTCCCCAGATGTTGATGGACTACAACTCCCATCATCCCTGAGCTCTGGCCTTGCTAGCTAGGGGTGATGGGAGTTGTAGTCCGACAACATCTGGGGACCCACAGCTTGAGGAAGGACGCCTTAAAAGGTGGATAACCTGCCGTTTGCTTCTGGGGGAAGAAAGAAAGGAGCTGGAGGGAACAAAATAAGTTTGTATTTCTCCCAATTTTTAAAAAAATTAATTTATTTTGGAAAGTGTTTCTCAAAAGGAGAGAAGAAGAAAAGTTTTTTAAAAGACTCAGGTTGGGTGATTTAATAAGGCGCTTGCGAGGTTTCTCGTCCCCCCAGCTTGGAAAAATAGCAAAGAGTTTGGATCCTGGGGAAATAACTTGAAAAATCAGTTTCCCCGACTGGCCTCCTGTTTCTCTGCCGCTTCCTTGCCCCACCCTGATCTGCTTGGGGTCAGGAGACAATAAAAACAGGGAGGAGAGGCCAGTTTGGCAGGTTCTCTGCCCCCCCTCACTGCCACCCCCTTAAATGCCCGGAGAGCTTTCGATTTAAGTTCCTGATCCCGCTCTGAAAAATTTCCAGCTGTTTTGAAAGCGGCTGAGTCTTCCGAAGTTTGGAGAGATTTCCCCTCCCCTCGGAAAAATCCAAGGAACAACTATTATTATTATTATTATTATTATTATTATTATCATAGCTGTCAACATTTCCCATTTTTAAAGGGAAATTCCCTTAGATGTATTAGAATGTATTTCAATTATTTGTGGGGCACAGGAATTCGTCCATTATTTTATCCCCCCCCAAATATAGTCTGCCCCCCCCCACAAGGTCTGAGGGACAGGGGACCGGCCCCTGGCTGAAAAAGGTTTGCTGACCCCTGGTCTACACAGACCGGCAACAGGTCTCCCGGCCGTTAAAAAAACGACCTTTCGCCTTTACAAGTTTCTGGTCCTCAAGGTTGCAATGAAGTCGATTTTAAGCGCAGGACGCGGCCTGCGGCCTTCTGAAGAAACCCAGCCTGATGGGCGGGGTATAAATAATAAGACGATTGTTATTATTAGGCGTTTCAAGCTACGGAAGGTTCCTACCAAACTTTTCGAAGAGACTGAGATAGATAGATAGATAGATAGATAGATAGATAGATAGATAGATAGATAGATAGATATGATAGATAGATAGATAGATAGATAGAGATAGATAGATAGATAGATAGATAGATAGATAGATAGATAGATAGATAGATAGATAGATATAAAAGCTAATCACCAAATGGCCTTCTTGGTGGTGGCGCCCATCAGATGTCAAACAGGTAAAGACCTTTTAGAAGACATCTGAAGGCAGCCCTGTTTAGGGAAGCTTTTAATGTTTAATAGGTTATTGTATTTTAGTGTTTGTTGGAAGCTGCCCAGAGTGGCTGGGGAAACCCAGCCAGATCAGCGTGGTATAAATAAATTATTATTATTATTATTATTATTATTATTATTATTACCGCTAAAAAGCACTCTGCACGGGCCCAGGGGCTCTGCAAAACCTGCGTTTTCCTAGGGCTGCTTTCTCCGACTCGCACCCCCAGATTGTTGGCGGGCTGCGATGGGTAGGGTGTAAATAAATTATTATTATTATTATTATTATTATTATTATTATTATTATTATTATTATTTTATTTATTATTATTATTGAGACCATTCAACAGAGCTAGACGTTCCTTCGGCCCCCTGACCTCTTCCTCTTTCCGGACCCCCGCAGGAAAGCCAAATGGGCCGACGAGGAATTCGACGAAGACCTTGGCGAGGAGGAAGAGGACGATTACGACGAAGACGAGGAGATGGCGGAGGAGGAAGGGGTCCCCATGTCCGGGGAGGCTGCCCGCTCGAGCCCGGGCCCCCCGCTTCTCCGCAAGCAGCAGCCCACCCTTCCCTACAGAGGCGAGACGTCCAGGCTGGCCGGGGGTCCCGAGAGACTTTCGGCCTCGCTGCCCCACCTGTCGCAGGTGCAGACCCAGCCCCTGGACCACGGCGACTGGACCTACGAGGAACAGTTCAAGCAGGTAAGTTTCCACGGGAGACTCTCTTTTTTGCCCTTCCAGGTTTCGGGGGTCTTTGGCTGGGGAGGGCGGGATACTGCCAAAACCGACCTCTCTTTCAAATCGGAACCAGTGAAGGCGGTGAAGGTCCTGTGTGAGTGCCTGGAGGCGGTTGGAGGGTGGATGGCGGCTAACAGATTGAGGTTGAATCCTGACAAGACAGAAGGACTGTTTTTGGGGGACAGGGGGCGGGTGGGTGTGGAGGACTCCCTGGTCCTGAATGGGGTGACTGTGCCCCTGAAGGACCAGGTGCGCAGCCTGGGAGTCATTTTGGACGCACAGCTGTCCATGGAGGCGCAGGTCAAATCCATGTGCAGGGCAGCTATATCTGGTACGCAGGATGAGACCCTCCCTGCCCGCAGACTGTCTGGCCAGAGTGGTGCATGCTCTGGTTATCTCCCGCTTGGACTACTGCCATGCGCTCTACGTGGGGCTACCTTTGAAGGTGACCCGGAAACTACAACTAATCCAGAATGCGGATGCCAAACTGGTGACTGGGAGCGGCCGCCGAGACCACATAACACCGGTCCTGAAAGACCTACATTGGCTCCCAGTTCGTTTCCGAGCACCATTCAAAGTGTTGGGGCTGACCTTTAAAGCCCTAAACGGCCCAGTATACCTGAAGGAGTGTCTCCACCCCCATCGTTCTGCCCGGACACTGAGGTCCATCTCCCGAGGGCCTTCTGGCAGTTCCCTCGCTGTGAGAAGCCAAGTTACAGTGAACCAGGCAGAGGGCCTTCTCGGTGGTGGCGCCCTTCCTGTGGAACGCCCTCCCACCAGATGTCAAAGAGAAAAATAACTAGACTTTTAGAAGACATCTGAAGGCAGCCCTGTTTAGGGAAGCTTTTAATGTTTAACAGGTTATTGTATTTCAGTGTTTTGGGCGGGGTATAAATAATAAATTATTATTATTATTATTATTATTATTATTATTATTGCTGAAAAGCACTCTGCACGGGCCCAGGGGCTCTGCAAAACCTGTGTTTTCCGAGGGCTGCTTTCTCCGATTCACACCCCCAGATTGTCGGCGGGCTGCGATGTGGGAACTACAAATCCCGCTGGCTGGGAACGATGGGATTTGCAACCCAGTTTTTATAAAGGTTTGGGGCTTGAAGGGAGATTGTCGAAATCTGAAAAGGCTTCTTCGGCCTCTCCTCCCTTTGTGTGGCTTTCGCTAAGGCTGTGTGTGTGTGTGTTTACGACAAAGATAAGCCGAATTTTTCCATTTGAAATTCAGCCATGTCAAAGTCCGCAAGAGTAGAAGGGGGGGGAGAGAGAGAGAATCTTGCTAGTCTGGAAATATTTATCCCCTGGCAAAACGGACCGGCGTCAACCAGACTTTCCTGGGTGCCGCAATGAAAAAACAACAACGCCACGGTTTTTCGGAACAGGCTCGTCCGGGTTTTGCCTCGACCCGCAACTTTGCTTTATTGTGTGCTGAAGTTTAAATAGACGACGTTCTTGCGTTTCCTTAAAGTCCCCTTTTCTAATTTCAGCCAGCAAACATATAGCAAAAATAAATAGCAAAAAATATAGGGATTGGCTTCCGTATTTTATTTTATTAAGAAAGCGTTTTGGGTCGCTTTGAACGGCGTCCGGAGAAAAGAGAGTTCTCTGCGGCCGATAGCTTGCTGATGTGGGGAAGCGCATTGTGTGATCCGAAAGCCTGCTGCGCCGACGAAAAGCTCTGTGTAGCCTGAAAGCTTGCTGAAATAAAAACCGGGGTATTTTCCCCACGATGCCAGAACGCACACAAGGTATTAAGAACATAAGAAAAGCTGGGCATTATAAGATGGGGCTTTTCTTGACGTTCTTGATACGGCGCATGTGTTTCCGGCGTCCTGGGGTGTGTGTTTAAATACCCCACGTTTTCATGTTTAGCAAGCTTTCGGATCGCACAGAGCTCTTCTTCGGCATAGCGGGCTTTCGGATCGCACTGGGCGCTGCTTCTTCGGATATTGGGCCGCAGCGAGCTCTCTCCTTCCCTGCGGGTTTGAATTTCGAATCCGCCGAGGTGCGTGGCTGATCGGCGCTTCCTGCGAAGAGCAAGCTTCACAGCATAACTGCACGCTGCGCGGAGAAGTTTGCATTTCGACAAATGTTCGTCGCATAGCTGGAATTGCAGCCTGCAAGGCATCCGGTTATCTGCGTGAATCTCCTTTCTTTCTTTCTTTCTTTCTTTCTTTCTTTCTTTCTTTCTTTCTCTCTCTCTCTCTCTCTCTCTCTCTCTCTCTCTCTCTCTTTCTTTTTATTTCTCTCTTTCTTTCTCCCTCTCTTTCTCCCTCTCTCTCTCTTTCTCTCTCTCTCCTTTCTTTCTTTCTCTCATTCTCTCTCTTTCTCTTTCTTTCTTTCTCCCTCTCTCTCTTTTTCTTTCTTTCTCCTGTTTTTTTTTTTTTTTTGCCGGCAATTATTGCAAGAGATGTCGTTTGCAACAGAAACCAGAGAGAGAGAGAGAGGAAGAGAAAGCAGTAATTTAGCGGCCCCGACATCCCCCCACCCCAAAATCTACTCTTTTTTCATTCTTCTTTTTTTGTGGAGAAAGAAAACCTTCCTTTCTTTCCGGCAGGCTCTCTCTCGCTCCTTGTTTGATCAGCCCGGTCTGGGTATTGAATCAGGGAAGCTGTAGAGTTAAGAGAAGGAAATCGCTCTCTTTGCAAGGGCCTTCTCCCTAGAGGACCGGCCTTCCTTTGATGTCCGAGTTGTAAATACATTGGGAATTTGGGGGGAGAAGAATCAGCGGCAAACCAAACAGAAGCAGATGGGATCCAGATGGGACGAGAGAGAGAGAGAGAGAGAGAGAGAGAGAAGTTTATTATTATTATTATTATTATTATTATTATTATTATTATTATTATTAACAAAGCGGCAGGAGTAGTTTGAAAACAAGCGCTTCACCATTTCAGGAGAAAATTGCCTGCTTCTGTATACCCTCCTGGTTCCATACATTGGATTTTGTTTTTTAAGGTTTCGTTCTCAGATCAGAGCTGATTTGAGGACCTTGGAGGTGGGAGAGGTTCCCTGTCGCCTCTCTCGGCGAGTCTCTGCTGTGCAAGGAGGCAAGCTTTCCCCCCCTGCTAATGGCGGGCGTGTTTTTGCACTGTATTTCCCCGGGGGGGGGTGTGGTGTGTGGTGTGTGTGTGTGGGGGGGGCTGGGTTGCCGATTTGCTTCCAGTGCAGAGAGGCTCCCCACTGTGTCTCTGGATGAGTCCCCGGCAGCCTGGCGCCAAGCTGGAGCGTCAGACCTAGCTCAGTAACGTCCGGCAGTAGCTATTTAGGGTCTCCGGCCCCCCCCAGTCAAGCCGCGGAGGGCGATTCTAGCCACTCTCCTTGGGAGAGTCTGCCCGCTGTATCTCTGTATGACTTAATCACGCTGAAGATTGTTGTTGTTGAGTTGTTTAGTCGTGTCCGCCTCTTTGTGACCCCCTGGACCAGAGCACGCCAGGCCCTCCTGTCTTCCACTGCCTCCCGCAGTTTGGTCAAACTCATGCTGGTCTCTTCGAGAACACTGTCCCACCATCTCGTCCTCCGTCGTCCCCTTCTCCTTGCGCCCTCCATCTTTCCCAACATCAGGGTCTTTTCCAGGGAGTCTTCTCTTCTCTGAGGTGGCCAAAGTCTTGGAGCCTCAGCTTCAGGATCTGTCCTTCCAGTGAGCACTCAGGGCTGATTTCCTTCAGAACGGAGAGGTTTGATCTTCTTGCAGTCCATGGGACTCTCAAGAGTCTCCTTCAGCACCAGAATTCAAAAGCATCCATTCTTCGGCGACCAGCCTTCTTTATGGTCCAGCTACCCCAGAGCTAGGGACGCGGGTGGCGCTGTGCGTTAAACCACAGAGCCTAGGACTTGCCGATTGGGAGGTCGGCGGTTCGAATCTCCGCAATGACGGGGTGAGCTCCCGTTGCTCGGTCCCTGCTCCTGCCAACCTAGCAGTTCGAAAGCACCTCAAAGTACAAGTAGATCAATAGGTACCACTCCGGCGGGAAGGTAAACAGCATTTCTGTGCGCTGCTCTGGTTCGCCAGAAGCGGCTTAGTCCTGCTGGCCACATGACCTGGAAGCTGTACGCCGGCTCCCTCGGCCAGTAAAGCGAGATGAGCGCCGCAACCCCAGAGCCGTCCACGACTGGACCTAATGGTCAGGGGCCCCGTCACCTTTACCCCAGAGCTAAACTTGGGCGGATGTCGACCCTTTATTTTCCCTTTCGGCTTGGAAACTTTGGGGCGGTTCTGTTTGGCTCTTGTCGGCCTCCTAAGTCGCTGCCTCCAGGAATCGAGACTTTGCGGGGAAAGAGAGTTAGAGATAGCGGGCAGCATGGCAGGGTGTGTCCGAGATAAGGGGTCGCAAGCCCACTTAATTCCCTGGGTGGGGCGGTCTCGGCCGGGTAAGCCAGGCCACACGCCCTGGATTTTCGGCTGCGGGTTCCGCAGGTCGGAGCGGTCCCGAATTCGAAAGTCTTTGGCTGTGTGTTGTTGTTTTTCCCCTGTGCCGATGACGCAGTGCTGGTTAAAGGCAGGGGGCGCGTCCATTGGGGCCCCCACCCAAATATTCTGGGACTCTCAGCTATCTATGGCCGCCTTTTTTTATTTTAAATTGCATTTGAACCTGTATTTTAAATTGGGTTTCCCCCCCCATTATGATTTTACTGTAATTTTACTCCCGCAAAGCACCCCTGGATCGGATTATTTCGGTTCCCCAGGCACTGTGAGCACAATTTTGAGCTTCTCTTCACTGCCCTAGGAGCTAGAAGTCTGCTCCTTATCAACTAAACATTAATGGACTACACATCATCTAACGCAGGGGTCAGCAAACTTTTTCAGCAGGGGGCCGGTCCACTGTCCCTCAGACTTTGTGGGGGGCCGGACTATATTTTGGGGTGGAAAATGAACGGATTCCTATGCCCCACAAATAACCCAAAGATGCATTTTAAATAAAAGCTCACATTCTACTTTTGTAAAAACACGCTGATTT